AGGACCCGATTCAAGTTGAAAACAGCCACTAGATGCACGGTTTCTATGGCAACGGTGTAAACAAAACGTCTGAATCAGCCATGATATGGTCTCCGGCTTTTATCAGCACTTCATCAGCAACATATCATATAACCAAGACACAACATCTTTAGATGTAAGTTTTGATACATTTTATACAAGTGGAGCGAGCTAAAAAAATTAGTTTTGATAATTATGACACAAATTTCCGGATAATTTTTTAAATATTGAAAATTACAATTTGGTATGTCCACTATACAAGGTGACTGCGAAATACATGCAAAAAAAAAATGGGGAATAGCTCACAATATGATTATGTCACTGGGTAAAATTCACGGTCCTAAGTAGTAGCAGTGTCTAGAAAAAATTATTTGAAATTCAATGTAAATTGTTGTACGCGCCGCTGGACTGTTTTGTGACCTACATAATTACTACAATGAATGGAACAGAGCGAGTCGGTTAAAGAACCAAAAAAGTTACTTTATCAGGCACTTTTTTAATCGCAACGTGAAAAACACGAAAAGGGCCAGTTAGCATCGAGCGGTCGGTGAAATCGGTTTATGGTGCAGTTTTCCCATGCAGATTGTGTCGATATGGTAATGGGTGCATCAGTGGTACAGCATCTCCGAGATCATGGTACCTTCAACCTCAAACTCACGATCGTGGCCGTGATAGGACAGAAAGAAGAAGTTGGATTTTCACAGCTTGTAGTGCATCCTACATTAAAAGAATACGGCCACATCCATACCATGTTGACGAAGTAAAGGGTTTGGAGCCCGCTGATTGTCCACGTTGTGTAACTCACTTTTTGTCCGATCAAACTCCACATGCTCGTCAACAAGTACGATTGCACGAGACGGTTTTCGATAAATGTGTATCGGTTGGATTACACAGTTCGTTTGTGGAAATCAACAGTGTCCAGAAATTATCGAAGAGCTTCAACAAGTGAAAGTGACACCCGCTACTCCGGTGTTTTTTTACCTATCAACAAACCTCTTGCGACGCTCTGACGCCTGTATTGCTAGTCAAGGACAACATTTTCAACATTTCTTGTAAAAAGGTAGTAGCATTCTAAGTTGCTCTTATTTCTGTTCCAATAAACAACGTAAAATCGTTGTGACAAGGACCAAACATCCGTCAGAATTAAAATTACCAAAAAACTTTCACACTGACCTTTAACGATGAATGAGTAAATGAATGAACGAATGATAAGCAGCAAAAAGTCGGTTTTACTTTTAATTGAAACTGAAAGTGTTTAGGTCGTTTTTATTCAAACGTTTTTCCAACTCTGTTTACAAGGTGGCTCAGTGCCTTCGTATCGAGGGTGGTTCATGGGGGTTTTGCCCCATTCGATTTTTAATTTCTTTTTTCTATATTTCGGCTCTACTAGGGTGGGGGATGCCGTGGTTAAAATATTTGCACTTATTTCGCAGTCACCCTGTATTTGCAGACGTTGTAATTTTGGGAGGGCACGTGCCCTTGTGCCCCCTGGCACCAGCCGCGCCTGGTGAAAGTTTTCGGCAAGCATACGAAAGCCTAACGAAGATTCCCGAACAACTTCCGACACCAACCGAAGATTCTTGAACTACTCCTAGTGCCAGCTGAAGTACACAAATAATAAGAAGTAATATATAATATAAATGTTTCTTACATTGTAGGTGGTTTAAAAAAAATTTGAATCTAGGACGTTGTATTAAGGGGATCCTATCTTTTCTGTGCTGAGAAAGTGACTCTTTCGTTTATTCCACAATTACCGTTTACAACCTATTTTTAAGGAACCCGCCGGCCAAAAAGATGAAAATTCACTGTCCTTCAGGCAGTTCGAAATCAGTGGCGTCTCGAGTTGATTAGTGTAGGGTGTTTTGTTATCGCAGCTACTAACGTTTTTTGTTCATTTTTTTACATTGATTTTCTAAAAGTAATATTCTTTGTCGATTGTTTTTGTTGTGGTGAAATCGATAAAGCTTCCATTATTATATGTTTAAGGCGGTCTTGATACGCCACTGGTTGTATCCTTGTTCACTGTTGTACGTCTTTTTTTAGTTACTCTTTATTATTTGAAATGATATTCAATTTGCCGTTTTTAATATGTCACCAACAGGATCACGAACGTAACTTTGACGGTTGACAATTGATACCACACTACTTACAAGTCAAATGAAAAAAAATGGTTGAATGTTATTTCGACACAAATTGCCTCACTCTTGAAGTACAACTACAAAAATAATAAAATTTGATTTTGCCATTTTTGTTTTGTGACAACCTCTATAAAATAAGAACCACTGACGGAAATAACATCTCGTAGCCCCTGGGTCGCGGGGGCAGAAATTCCAAAGACGCGCGATCCGCATACGTGCGGACAAAGTGAAACTACTTAAAGCAGACAACCAACGGGAAAACTGTGTTATTATCAGTGTCCATGCTTAACTTCGATTGCTTATGTCACCATTATCAGGTAGAGATTTGTTTGGTTTCAATTTTATTATTATAATTATCATTTTATTATTATTAAATAAAGACTGTATTCTCACATTTTCGGGAAAATGGGGTGACGCGTTCACAATCTGATCAATAAAAAATTAGAGAGTGATGGATTTTATTAAATTTATTTCATCTAATGAAAAAAAAAGAACTGCCGCCCGCCAGCTTTAATTTGCCGTACCTTGGATCTCCGAGGCGGGTGCTCTAAAAGACTGAGCCACACTAGCTGTAACCTGTTAAAGGCTTACGTAATATGTCTCTAAAGTAGAAGGCGAATTAAACAATAAACAAATATAATAATGATACATAAAATCAAGGTAGATTCGTAAACCACAGGCGCAAGAGTAGATTATTTCATACAATTTTGGTTATGTTAATTATCCTGTATAATGAGCGGACGTCATCACAGTGTTAGTGACGGTGATATTCCTAATTACAGACAAAAGTTGACAACAACCGGTCGAGTAGTTTCGGAGATTATCTGTCTAATACATATTGACACATACGACAAACATAGAGAGATGTCAGACAGACGGAAACAGGGTATCATTTTTTTCGTACTCTAGGGGTCATCAAATATCAAGGAAAACATGAACGTAGCAAGTCGCCCGATGGACTCGATCATAATACTTCCTTCGCTTACGCTCGGGAAGTAAAAACACTCGGTAAGGATGGGATCTGAACCCACATCTAGGCAAAGCACAAGTTCGATAATCACCAGAAATCTCACTCGATCACGAAACATTGATGTAGAAGCAAAACATCGGCTACTGGAAAATGTTGCAGAAAAAACAATGTGCAGGAGTATATTAACATTTCATAAAATTTGTATAACCTTAACTACACAAAATGATGAGCGGACGTCATCAAATTACGGTTAGTGTTTTACCATCGATCTACAGGATATTCGTAACATTATGTCATTAGACAGATTGATTATCTTCTACAGTACTGTGTTAATTTTTATTAAAAAAATATTATTAAAAAATTAACACAGACGACAGACAGACGGAAACGAGCTACTAGTACAGAACCTGTAGTTATAAACAGCTAACTTCTCTCATCTCTGACATAAAAGCAATGTAGCATTTTGCTTCCTACTTACTTTTATTGGACATATGTATTTATTTTACACTTCTTTGAATCTCATCGATTTTCCAGTGGGAATAGTAAATATATTTCAATTTTAATATTTACAATGTAACACTAGTCATACGTCTTGGAATCTTATCAGAATGACAAGGAAATTGGTAACTTTTGTCTAAATAAGTAATTTAAAAATTAAAAAACATTGCATTGCATGATGTATTCTTAAAATGATTTCATTAACTCTAGAGAGGATATAAGCAAATCAATTTTAATAACGTTGAATCTACAAATAACTGTACCGAAGTGTACCTACGTATTGAACTACATATAAACTTTGTAAAAATGTAATATTCCTACAAGTACAATGACAAATAAAGTATTAACTCATAGTTAAAAAAAACATGTCACATTGCACGTTTGTAAATGCACAACTAGAAAACTTTTAAAATCTTCATTTGTTATTTCATGATTCATTACAATTTTATAGTAATAAAATCTATAAAAAAAAACCTTGAAATTTTTGAGGCACATTCTAGCCTTAGGTAGTGTCTACCAAAACATATCGGTTTGACAGATAATATGTTTGTTTACGTTGCATGTGCTCTGAGGGGACAGTCATAACTAATTATGTATCGTTTTACAGCTGGGGCACGTTTTAATATAAACGTATATTATAGCGAGTTTTGTTAAATAATAATCGATTTAAACGTACCTCGTACGTGTTTTTGGGGTCTTACCAGTAAGAGTGAATCCTGTGGTATTTTCACACTGTGACAAGCCTGACCGTGGCTCAGTTATTAAATGAGACAGATGTATCCTTTCTCTTCTAATACCAAATTTAGATTCTTAAAATTCGCCGAAGCAAGATTTTGTTAGCAACGATATAATGAAGGAACGTGACGTGAAGTATTCGACACCGTATGAAGAATCTTGATATTAAAAATGAACGAATTAAAAAAATATGTTCCCTCCCCTAGTAATTTGGAAGTCGGAATGTTAGTTCAAAGGGATCCGAACGAGCGAAGGGCCGTTCGGGTCAAGTATCGTATGTAAAAAGACCGAAATATCGTCGGGCGCGTTGCGTTTTCGGTCAGTCCGAAAGAAAATTAGATCGTATCGACGTTAATAATAATCAGCTAGCGGCAAAGCAAAGCTACGTGGGAGAATCGTATCCAATATAGGCCGGCATACTGATAAGAGTATTTGCAACACCTGTGGCTGCGGCTCAGGTATACAGGTAGCGCAATTAGTCGAATCGCCAGAAAAGTTTGTGAGTTGTGAATTGTGATAGAGTGCGCAATGACAAGTGAAAGCTCACACGCCTCTTGTGACAGTGCGACAAACCGCGAGCTCACTCAGTGGTAGTTGGACTGCCGCGCCAGCAACATCCTGTCAGTCGTCTACTGGTTGTTGCAACTTCCTCCGCGCACGCACAATTACGAGCGCACTTGCCGCCCACCTCTAAAAATTCACAAAACTAGTGCTCAGCCGACCTACCACCACCTAACATGCTCACAGGACTCGCAGTGATAGTTCTCAGCACTGAGTTCGCGTGAACGTGAACGTAAGTGATACACTTGTCAAATTTGCCGCACATGTCTCTGTACAGGTAATTTGTGATTGTTTTTGTTGCGCGCGCATCACACTTAAGTGACACTCTTACCTTACGTCATTACGTTAGAATGTTGTAAAAAGCATTTCTTGTAAACGGCATATTTTACTTTAGCGGAATTTTCGTCACTTATTCCAAACATCTCAGACACGAAGATTACGCCATAAAAACTAAGTGTCACCGCTTTTAAGGTTAAGCACCAATAAAAAATTTTCTCAATTACTTAAGCATGCCCGTGCTCGATTTTATTAAAGCCATCAATAAAAACTCTTATCTAACACTCGATGACATCAGGCGCTACCACACTTCAGGTGAATCCGATTCGAGGTTAATCAACAAAATTCCTTTCCCGACAAAAAACTACACAATTACCTACAGTACTAAAAATTTTCGTCCAAACGTATTACTCAATCGAATTAATTAATAAAAACACGTTCGTTTATTGATAGACATAAATAATCGTGATTTACGACAACTCAGAATCCGTTTTAGCGCCAATACATAAAAAAGCCGTCACTTAATTAGCCGTCAACCATGTCCAGCAGCGACCCCTGCTGCAATTATTAGGGTTTTAAACCCTGTTTCCTTGTCTTTGTAGGAGGTGGCGCTGTGATGTGTAATTCACCGACGTCATGTCACGACAACGCAAATAAAACAACTAGGGTGATAGCCATCGCATTTTTCGAACGTTTATCGTTGTTTGGCTTTAATTAATGACATTATTTGGGGGCCCGACGCAAATACGTGTTTAATTGGTTGCATAGCGACTATGAATTTGACTGAAAATTAAAACAAATTTGCGACCTCTTATTGTATTTTGTGGGTAATTCATAAAAGTATAGATGTTCAAATATGCCAAATTGCTAAATTACGATGTTTTTTCGCGTTAAAGATTTATAACATGACTAAAGTGTTCTCCGGTAATATTATAAACTTGTTGGTTTTAAACTAAAAAAGTCTAGATGTAAATATTAGTTTCATTTACAATAATTATATATTACACTTTATATATTTACACTACCGGAGAAGGCCGGTACACCAAAAAATCCCTCTCACTGTGAAAAATAATCCTCATCACTTTAAATTAAACTCGATTTCGCTTAAGTAAGTTACCCACTCAACGACATACGGTATTTCTCTCATAGGCACTTTTGGTTGTGTCGCACACACTACAGTTATTCATAGTGAAGCATATATTTGGTAAATAAAATAAATCTGTTTCTAATTAAGTTTGCAAAGTAATTATTAATAACAGTTTAGCAATATTTTCTAAATTGTAAATGAAAATCCATTCTTTTTCAGATTCGTAACTTGTTATGTGCATTTTTTTAAACAATATTTGTGAAATATTTAGCAATATTTTTATTCAGTCTACAATTTGGGACATAATGATTTAACATTGTTTGTATTCTTATGTTGATATTCAAAACATTTTTAATATTCTGTGTATTGGTTTGGTGATAATAGTAATATCATAATTTAAGACGAATTTGAATAAATTTTACAAAATTAATTTCAAATACAAAGACAAGTTAATGGCAATGAAAATAGACATACAATTAACATTACTACATAAATAACAAAAATTATGGAAGTTAGAAACGAAAGGTTTCTTGAATTTTACCAAATATGGATGTTTCCCATTTTAAACTTAAATTCCATAAAATTATTTAGACCCTTCCTTTGTTTTTTTGTTTCATGTTAATCAAGAAAATTTGCAGCGGAGTCACCTGCATACGTACAAAAAATATACTTGAATATAAACTCGTACCAAGAGAAACAAAATTTTCAGAATTTTTATCAAAATCGAGGCTATTTTTAGATTTGTCTGCGATAGAAGCTAAACAATATACGAACTATATCATAATTGTGACATAATTTTGCACCGATGGATGACTGGATTACGTTCTTTTTTTATGACCTGTGCCAAAAAATATATTTGGGTGAAGTAAATAGTTGTTTACAATTCTTTGAAGATCCGTTCTGTTCAAGTTATAGGTATTTAATTTTGGGTATTTGTCCACCTCTTGAACGTAATATATGATTAGGAGACTAAATAGTTGTAGTTACTTTACGACATGTTTCGACTTTATTTAACGTCATCATCAGGTTATGTATATGTTCAACAAACTAGTAATATGGAACTTAACACTTGAAAGAATAGCAATGAGTTGTTTACAAAATTTTTCTAAGTAACTCACGAATATAAGGATTAAAATTGGGTGTGTGGTTTTAAAACTGGATTGGTTATTCATATCGTGCTGATAGAGTGTTTCTACGTTAAAATTGTCAGGATAATGTTCAAATACTTACATGCCATTTTTGTGTGTATTTTGTCACTACTATTGTGATTATATCGCCCGCGTTCGATAGTTTTCGTGTCATTCATCGAAAAATAGACAACTCCGCTTACATTCATTAAATCTTTAAACATTTGTAAATTGTATTTGTACAGTTTTCTTAAATACACAAATCTCGTTGAATAACTTAATTGTTTGTTTCTTAAGGAGTGAGTAAATGCCTCTTTCAGTTGTAACCCTCGAAGTGGGTTAAACACGTATTACATTGGTATAGGGGAAGTTACTGACCTAGATTTAGAACGAGGGTAGGCTCCACATTACGTGAATTTTATTTTAGTGTCATAGATGTACGTTTATGTATAAATATTTCGGGAAGAATTCGGATCTGTGGGGCAATAAAAATGAAATGAATGAGAGTTTTTTCCTGATTAATCATTATCCGTATCGTATAACTCTATAAATGAAATATAAAAGTTAATTGAATATGTTACAAGTATTATAAATATGCGTCACTGACATCATTAAGGTTTATTAAACGGTAGTTGATGAATTTATTTAGATACAAAACGTTTGGATTAGCTTAAAAGAGTCGATATTTTATTCAGTTTTGTATGCATGCTGTAAATATTTCGCATATTTTAGATCTAACAGTTATATCGAGCTTTCAACACGTGCATTTTATAGATACATCGTGTGGTAGAAAAAAAATTGATTGGTGGCTAATAACTGACGAGATTCTTGTTAGTGTCTGCCAAAAAAAGGAGTGAGAGTTAGCCGTGTCAAAAATGTCAAAAGTGTAAACGTAAACACTGCCTCTATCACAAATTTCAAATACCAAAAAAATGTATTTAATTATGAGATATACAACAAAAAGTGCATTACTTCGTAGCTGTTTGTCATCAAGATCATAAATAACTGACTTAATACGTAACTTTTAGAAAATTTTATATCCAAAGTGTTACACTTATGTCTGTGTAAAGTGACATTATTTACTTAAAAGAAAAAATTATGAAATTACCTTAAAGACACTTACCTATAGTTTTGCTCTAATAAAAATTATAAATTTTGATATACTTACTGGAAATAATTTTCTCTTTTTTTTTGTTTGTGCACTAAAAAATCCTCACAATTTTTTCGCCTACTTTGCTTACAGTAATTTGCAAATGTGCAAACTAGGCGAAATAATCCTCGATTAGTAGAGTAGGTACCAAAAATTTTGAGTCCTCGATTAAGCAAAGTAGACAAGCAAAACTTAAATAAACTTATCAGCACACAGTATCGTGCCCAAAAAAATATTAAAAAGATAATGTTTATTGCTCAAGTAGTTGTAGAAACCTGGACCTTAATTTTATGTCTCACACCTTGTAAAATATCTGAATATTGAGGGTCGAAGTGTATTTTACCAAAATAATGGAGATATTTAAAAGTTTAGTATTTAAGGCCGGCCGCTACGTTTTCTGCATGGAATTTTCGGTACATTTTCAGAATGTATAATATCTCGATTGTTAACAGACTTATGGTTGTGAAATTTTAAATATAACCTGCCCACAACTTTCTTTATATAACGCAAAGGATACTTTGTTTATGATAATCCTTTTTTTAGTGAAATTTTTGCATCACGTATCTTTAAAAATCAATATCTCAATTATTTAAGGAAATTTCGGAACGCGCTTTTCAACACTGTTTACAGCTTATAAAACTTACGCTGCTAGACGTTTCTTTTTATCTACTGTATCGCAATTCCAACAAATGAAGTGGAAAATATATCTGATACGATTTCAATAGTTGTGTAAGCTGTAAGCAGTGGTACAAATCGCGTTCTAAAATTTCCATAAATAATTGAAATATGGGAAACATTATGGGAAAATAAAAAACAGTTTACAAAATATCAGACAAGTATGACTCGAGAATTACTTATCAGGACCCTGAAATAAAAAATTATTTAAATGTCAAACGCAGCAGTCAATAAGTTAGAAATTATATAAAAATTTTATATATTACAGAATTTCCCATTGACGCAGTGTTGGAGGTTATGAAAAACACATTTTAATAGAACTTAGTTAAAGATAATTCCCAACCAAAAATTTATTGTATTATTTATTTTTAAATTACAGAACAAAAATACATTTTCTAAAAGAAATACCACAATTCTGGTTATTGGTATACCTAAAAGAATAAAGTGCTATGGAAATAATAATAGAGTAGTTAAGTTTTTGACCAAAAGCTCTTACCAGTTCAAAAAAAAATTTTTGTTATTTTTAAAAGTTTCATTGGTCGATCAATTTTATAGATAGGAGTTTGTGATTCTCCATGCTTATAAATTATTATACTGTTGTAGTCTTGTACCAGAATTAAGTACTCTTCATTCTATTAAAAAATGTACTTATATGTATGACTTTTTTTTTTAATTTTGATACTCAGTGTATCAGTTGAGATAAAATTAAAAAGCATGGGTCAACATTTCCATATTCGAACGTGATACAGGTATATATAAAGTATATAAAGCACCCTGTATAAAAATCTTGTCGTACAAGCACCATATGCCATTTACCCTGTGCTTATTTATAGTTAAAATGCGAAATAGCAAGCTCCGTATCCAGCGAAATCGAGAAGGCCTTTTCGTATCTTTGTTACAATCAGGTTAATGTAGAGGTTGTGTGGCGGGGTGGGTTGGCAAGAAGACCGTTCGATGAAAAC